CAAAGCAGGAAGGTCAGACAGTTAAAGTGTTTATTGATAATACAGGAGTGGAAATCATTTTGAGAAAGGGTAGCATGAAACGTGACCTTCAATGTTTGAGTCTTGACGTTGCAAAATCTTGTTTTGATTTAAATGCTTAAGTTCAATGGATCCATAGGTCAGAAAACCAGGAAGCTGATTATTTGAGCAAAAGGAGATAGATTTTGATGAATGGTGTGTATCGCAATGGATCGAAGCATGTCAAAGCATGTTGCAGTGAATAATATCCTCACCGATGCACAGCATGGCTTCCGATGGGGTTTGTCAACAACCGGCCACTCAATTGACAACAGCCGTACACAACTGGTCCTCCATCCTTCAGCAGCGCAGCCAAGTTGATATAATCTTTTTGGACTTCAAGAAGGCATTCGATCGAGTAGCACACCTTCTCCTGTCGACCAAACTTCAGTACTACGGAATATTAAGTGGTAACTCACTCCAGTGGATATGTCTCTCCTCACTGATAGACAACGGGCAGTCGATCGTAGTTGATGGATCTAAATCAACATGGAGGGATGTAACATCGGGTGTCCCCCAGGTATCCGTCATCGGCCCTACCCTGTTCCAGTCCACAATGCGTCTCTTTTCAGATGACAGCACCATTTATCGTGAGATTCGACGCCCTGAGGACCATCACATCCTAAAGGACGATCTCCAACAGCTGTTCAGGTGGTCTTCAAACTGGATGATGGACTTCAATGTAAAAAAAACCATCACACATAAGCGTACTCCCAGCATCCGAAAATACCACCTGTCAAATGGACTGATCCCGAGAGTCACGGAGTACAAGTACCTTGGAGTAACGGTTGCTGCTAATCTTCGTTTGAACAAGCACTGCCAATCCATCCGGCATAAACCAAGCCGTACTCTAGGTCATCTTCGCAGGACCCTCGGTCTCACCCTGTACCAGGGATGAACATTCCAGGGCCTACACAGCCCTAGTGCGCTCCCAATTAGAGTATGCCTCGGAGGCTGGAACCCGCACAGCGTCACGGTCACAACAAATGCTAGATCAAGTACAAAGAACAGTGGCTCGCTTTGAGTACCGTGACTACAGATACACCACATCACCCTCGGCTCTTGTGGCAGCTCTAGGGTGGGACACGCTTCGAATCCTCGACCAATGCACCCTTCTCTACAAGATCCATCACCGTCTTGTCTGCATACCCAAACCAACTATTGTTATCCATGGTACAATACTTCGGAAGAGGCGACCACAACCTGAAGTATGTCATTCCTGTTGCAACTATCGACTCCTTCAAGTTCTCATACTACCCAATAGTAATAAGGATCTGGAACCATCTTCCAGACTCAGCAGTCAATGCAACAGGAATAACCAACTTCAAGGAGGCTGCTCTACCCTCCATCAGAATGATGCAGCCCCGGTACGTTCTCACATCATATAATCTTACTAGCTTTTTTTTATTTATTTATTTTTTACTTGCAATGGACTTAGCATATTATGCTGTAAATTAGCAAGTGCTTTGTCCACACACCATTCCAGCAATTCATGACACTCCTTGTAGTTACTCGTCTCACCTACCATTCAAGTATAGCTTCCTGAGTGAGCTCCCAAAGGGGTTACCCAACCAAGTACCAAGTACAATTACTGTTATCTTCTTTTATAGACAGCATCTGGGCTTCCCATACAGTTCGTCCCTGTTTTCACGAAGTGACGGTAGTGAGGAAAATCGTAACGCAAAGTGAATGCAATTTTTTTTCACTACCGTCACTTCGTGAAAACAGCGACGAGTTGACAGCTTTGCAGACAATTATAATGCCAAGTTACCCCATTTTAATTCAAGGTTTTGGTGCCCAAACTCCAGTCAGATTGACAAATTTTCTGTCTCGTGAAAATCTGATAATAATTGGATAGTCCCCCCCCCCCCCCCCCCCCATTGCCACGGTAGATCAGGCTACAGCTAGCTAGCCACTCTGGTGGTTCCTCGACAGCCATCTGCTCCATTTTGGCCTTTGCTTTTTTTTCGAGGTCCAGCTCTTTTTTGTCTATAGTAATGCAGACGATTAGATTCACTGATCCCACATTTATATTTGTTTAAGGTAAAAATTCCAAGTCTATTTTTGGTACAGATCAATTCAGAAGTGAGATACTTTTCAGACAATAATGTATGATGCACCCTGAGAGAGTCTTACACGAACTGCGGATTGCGATATGTTATTGAGCGTGTATATTATGCAATGTGATAATGCAATAAATCAGGTAAAGTTTTGTTGGCGCAACAGTTCCTCACTGGAGGGATGTACAATTTGTGGTGTAATTGTATTTTTCAGCTTTCGGGATTTCAGGCGACACTGGAAAGAGCGGAGAGCACAGTGAGAAGGTATAACGGAGCCATAAGCACTTGGAAACAGTGGTACGTGAGAAACAGGATGTCTAGTGTGGACCCAACAATGGAAGAATTAGTAGCAGTGCTTTTTTTTTAATAATCAGGGAGCGACTTTTAGCAGGATAGAAACTACTTTGTTTCGGTTTAAAGTGGCATTTTGACTGTTCGGCTCATAGAATGGACATTCAAAATCCATGTGACTCGAATTTCTTATAACTAGTACTGGATGGACTAAATAGGTTAGCACGGTTGGTTGTCAGGAAAGAACCAATCACTCCTAAAATGCTTGGCAAAATTGTTGATAATTCAACAATCCGAATGTTAAATATGTGAGAACTTACACTATGCTGTTACTTGCTTATGCAGGGTTTCTTAGATTTGACGAATTGGTGAACATTAAGGTTAATAATATCCAATTTTGTATTTCTCACATCACGATGTTTGGAGAAAAGCAAAACAGATCAGTATCGAATAGGGCCTTGGGTGGTTGTGTCTGCAAAAGGGAAATCCACCTACCCAGTAAATATGCTTCATAGATACTTGAATAGTGCAGGTATTGTTTGTCGATGGATGAGTTCATTTTTCGACAGTTGTCTTTCTGTAAATCCTTGAATTCATACAAGCTTAGAGGCGATAAGCTTTCGTTTACAAGATGCAGGGAAATCTTCAAGGAATCTCTAAAAGAAAGGCAATTGGAGTGGATTCGAAGCGCTCGGTCTTCACAGCCTTAGAGCAGGAGGTGTTACTTCAGCAGCAGCAATTGGTGTCCCGGACAGACAATTAGAGATAAATGGAAGATGGGTTTATGATTCTTCCAAGAATTAGGTATGTGAAAGGAACACTTTCTAATGAGATGCTCGTTTTGCTTAATTTGGAAATTTGATTATACCTGAATGGAACTAAACATGAATGTTACACCTGGTAATTATTCTTGGAATGTATTTAATTTGGCATCTTGTGATTTTCTTTTATATCTATACACACAAAAGGCAGTGGAAGTAATATAATATCTTTAATCATTTGTGGTACTTAGAGAACATGTTACATGGATGGTGACCAGATAAACTATATTGGGTCAAAAGGAGAATTGAGATCATTGAGTTTCTCTGAAGTGGTTTGTTCAGACTGTATTATTTATATAATTACTTACATGTGGTGCATGAAAGTATTTAACACTCAGTTAAGTTGAAAACATCAGGGAGTGGAGGATGTGCATACATTGTGTGCGGGTAAGTCTGAATCCGATGACCAGGGTAATGATATATATATATATATATATATATATATATATATATATATATATTTAAAGCGCTTTATGGGGGGCTGCGGTCCTGAAAAGCGCTATATAAGGACGAACTAATATTATTATTATCAGTAAGATGGATAATTTGATAACATTTTAAAGTTATGAGATTACTTGGAATTAGTGGATTACGCATCGAAGATGTGAGCTAGCATACTAGAATTTCTATGTAAAGGACCGCGTTCATTCTTTCCCGTTCTTTTTTCCTTGATATTGGGGAGAATGAGTTTCTTGCGTTCGTAGCTGAAGTTCGGTGCTCCCCAAGTTAATTATAAATGTGGCATTTTATATCTGTTTGTAGTTTAGGAAAGGTCGTAAGGTCAATAGGAAACATTTATTTCCGTTTGAGTATGCGAATTAGGAAATAATGTCAATGATAACAATATTGACGATAGTGATAATAATATTGATAATAAAATAGTAGTAGTAGTTGTAGTGTAGTAGTAATATTAATGGTGGTGCTTTTGATAATTGTTTTAAAAAAGATGATTATTTTAATAATGATAACAATATTAATAAGAACAATAACGAATGATAATGATCATAATATTTTTTTTTCGAAAAATCCACTAAATTTACATTATATTAGCTAAGAAAGGTTCATAATTATTAAACACATGTGAATATAAATTAAAATGTTACAACTTCAAGGCAGGTATTCGAAATCAATGCATTGCAACTGTGCATTGAAAAGTGTAATATAACTAATTAAAACATGGAGAGATATCTAAACAAACCCGATCCCTATGTACAATATTACAAAATATGAACACATAGTAGGCTACACCCACATCTAAGCCTTTCCCTCCCTTCGTGTATTGGTACCCTTCTGCTTTACCCCGGCAGACTAACTGAATAGGATCGTCTAGTCGAATTCAATCTATTTTATACAAGATTTGAACAAGAACCTACCGCACAGCTGACAACGTATGTACATTTCTGCAGCACTCAATGAAGTAAATGAAGGCTTCCTCATCTGTGCACATCAATCCAAACATATGTAGCCACTGCAGGTTCTTGGTTTGTTCTCTGATCAGAAGACCGAGTCCTCTAATCGTCTCACTCGATACCTCGTTCTTCTCTGTTGTGTGTGTTATCGGTGCTGTAAGGCGGATATGCGTGAGCTGCTGTCCTCCGGTCCGACTAAGACAAGCCGAGATCTGAGGTATGTCTTTCTCTGCCTCATCGATAGTGATATCGATATCTCTCAAACCAGAGAGCGATGAGAGCAGACCTTCATAGCTTTGTGACGTCACCCTCTGAGCTGATAGCTTTGTGACGGATGGAAGGTCAGGTGGTGGTGATGGGAAACTGAGAGAGGAGTCTGAGATTTTGAGAGTATTTAGCATCGAAAATGATCCCATGCAGGACCATAGTCCACTCGTCACGTCGGCAGTTAAAGTAGATTCCTCGAACTTTACTGTCCTAACCTACATGTAGTGTTAGGATAGAGACAGAGAGATGGTAAAAGAAAGCGAATTAAACACGGTCTGTACGAATAAAATAATGTTAATTAGTTGATCTCTTGTTTTTGGTAGCAATCATTAAAGCAATCGTATCTCAGAAAATTATAAAAACATTACACAGGAGTGAGGCATTAGCAAGAAGTACCCACACAAGGTACATGTGGAACAGCCTAACACGATGTCCGAACATAATGCTAATGCCCGAACAAAATAATGTGTATGGTTTGTTTTATAATATGATTTTACTAATGACCCGTCATAAGTATTTACTAATGACTGGTCATTAGTAAAATTACGTGTTAGGCAAAATAAATGTCTGGTTACGGGTACGCTCTCAACCAATCATGTGATGAGGATCATCTTATAATATCCGGTAAGTAATGGGAGCTCCCTCTCCTACTCCTTTACATTGATAAGTAATACATTTATTTTCTTTCATGTTTTACATTGACTACATGCTTATATTGAATGTCCCTCGCCGTTTTGTTTCAAATTATTGTCGTTCCTTCTGCTATGCAGTACCATAATTTAGGCCGTAGTTGGGCAAACATAGAATAATAATTAATATGAATCATACGTATTGATCGTTGAATCATGCAGTATGATTTATCACGACGCATTTAATTATGAATAAGAAACATTACAAAAATATATATTAGCTATTTGACTCATAGTTGCAGCAGAGAAATAAAAAACCTTGACAATCTTTATGAAATGATTATTGTAAACACATTTTGTCCAATGAAAATGTGCATACCTGACGTTTAAGTTGCTTTGGAAGATTTTGCATCCCAACGACGGTGTAGACAGTCGGGGATTTTAGAACAATACCCTCTGCATTCACACATCTTCGAACCAACGAAGACACATTTCGTTGAGTACCCGTGGTCTCTGATGAACAGTCAAGGAGAATGCGATATCGCTCGCTCTCATCCAAATAGCTGTTTTTAAGGAGCTTCTTCATTATTCGTACACAGAGTCTGTTGTCCGTGCCAGCAGCGAATCGGATAAGATTCTCGTAGTCACCGATGTTTGCTTTGATCTTGCGCAGTACTATGTCCAATTTAGAAATCTTCAAACGTAACAGAAAGCGTTGTGTTTGATCAGCGAGGAATTTCCCAGCCGAGTGTTCTTGAGCGAGTTTGTGATAAAACTCAATGGTAGTGGAAGTGGTCTCGTTGGACTGAGGAAGGCATGTGATGTTAGTAGTCGTCTTCGATACTATCCCAAGCTCACATGCCATAGTAAGGGTTGAGGGAACTTTACGTAAATCATGAGGCGTGAAGACTAGTTTTTTAGCATCGTCGAGCAGACCAGTGAGGGCAACTTTGCCTAATTGATAAATTATTTTCCTTAACTTTTTTGGTGTGATCTCCACTTTCGACTCTGATCGTGCGTTTGCATGGTGCATAAGAAAACATTCACCCTGTCCAGCAATTCTGTTTGAGTTGAAGCACCACTGTCCAGTAGGCCCTCACGCCATAAGTGACAGATCATGAGACAAAATAGGGGTGTCTTGACAAGCTCATTAATAAGTGGTTCTCCATCAAGGTACTCCTTCAGACTTTGTCCGTTACCAGGATCCGAAGTCAAAGCAAAGAACTTGTTGATGTAGTCGCATGAGCTCTCTCGCGAGAATCCTTCGATCCACATCTTTGTGTATACTCTCGGAAGGTCACCTTGATTGAAGAAATTCTCTAGGTGAGGGCGTGTTGTTACAAGGACTCGGCACTCTGGAAATTCTTTCCAGCTGATGACATCGACAATATTACTCAATGAGCTGCGCTGTGAAGAGGAAATACCAGCATACTCATCTAGTCCGTCTAGTATGATGTGACAAATTCCCTGGTTCTCCTTGATGAATCTCTCCAGACCCTCTGGTGTGAGATCATCAACATCACTCAAAAGCTGGGATTTGATGGCTTCTCCGATTGTTGTAAGCTGACCTGTTTCTCGGAATTTGACAACAAACAGAAGTGGCAGGTGTTCTAATGCTGATCCCCTTTCTCTGTGAACCCAGTCGTAAGCCATCTTAGCAACAGCCGTAGTCTTCCCCCGTCCAGCGGGGGCCGAAATGAGGATTCGAACTGGTAGTTCGCCGTTTACTTTCGTTGAAAATATTTCAGCAACAGAACCCTTAAGCGTTTCCTTCATTTTCGTGTCTTTTCCACAATTATCCTTCTTCACCATTGTGACAACGGTGTGCATATCTTCGAACTCAGTGTAATCACTTTGATTCCACGGTGTCATTTGAATTTTGCACAATTGATTTCGGTACTTATTTTCCAATTTTTCGCGACATCGCTGAACAGTCAATGATTCCGAGATCTTCTTACTGTAGATATCTGGAATGATACAATCGGATATAACATCGAATATGTGATTATACTCTCATGATCTATCAACCCATTTGAAAGGCTTTTCGGGTCATTTAAGTTTAGATTCTCGTTGAAAATCCGACGATTTGGCTCTATCCCATGAAGCAAAGGCCTAGAAACGCACTTATAGCTGCAGTTATCTTTTATTAGACTGTAAAGATCATTCAAGAAGATTTTCTTTCCAAATCGATATTGAAAAATAGTTTATTTTCTCCTTTTTTAAAGAACTTTTCAAACTCTAATTTGAGGAGCAGAGATGCACAGAGTGAATAATAATAATAATAATAATAATAATAATATAATAATAATATGTCTTGTTTACCCAGGGTAGCCTCATCTGTATTCATACTGTTCTCCCTGAGGGCCCTGCAATCATATTATAAACGGCTCTGCATGTCCTATACCTTCTTCATGTTCAGTGACAGTATACCTCGTCAGTTCCAGGACCCTGAAAGTTACCCTAAAATAATAACTTCTTTAAACCATTTACGGGTGAAGGACGTGATTGTAAGCACCCTAGCACTGATAGACCCACCTGGAATACGGTGTGTCCCCTTCAGATGTTTATTAGCAAGCATGTCTAGCTTAGCATCAGTGAGAGCTTGTTCTAGTCTGAGATGCTGGTCGCAAGGCACCACGGTCTGTCTCCAGTCAAGCAGCATGTCACATGTTCCCTTGCAAGTTACCCGGTCACCTGTGTTGTTGGTCTCTGTGTATCTATTGATTTCTGCGACCTTAAAGCCGAGCGTTTGTCCCAAGGCCTCCATCTGCTCACCCGTCTCGATGTCTTCAGCCAAATGGAAGAGAAGACCATCGGCAATACCTCCTTGCGTCGCCATTTCTATAGAGACAATGCAAAGGAATGGAAAATATAAGTCCAGTCATGCAGTCACTTCCCAAGACGCCAAGTTAATAATTTCAATCCATCTTGAGTCACGAATTGTGTTTGTGTATCGAATTGTTTTCTAATAAGTATCAGAGTTGGACCGGCTTATTCTGCTACCAGATATTTCTATTTTCAGAGGTTTCAAAATACCGACATTCTTGTTAAATGCCTTCTGTAGTATTTGTTTTATCGGTGTCGTGGTGTGGTATTGCAAGAGTGTGAGGGCTTATGGGAGTTATAGGCAAATGTGCCACCTCTTTCGGCAAGAAAGGGAAGGAGAACGGGAAGAAAGAGGGGGAAACAAAGAATTAGGAGAAGGGAGAGCAAGAAAAGACGAAAAATTATAACGAAAGAAAGATTTCAAGAAAGAAAGGGAACGGAAAGGAAGAGGAAGAGAAACAGGAGAAAGGAGAAAGCGTCAGGATTAATAAATAACAAATTCAGAGGGATGCCAAGTCAAATAAAACAACAAGAAATGATAAGGACAAGGAACAAGACAGCCCAGTAAAATTATCTCCAATTTGGTTTCAAAGAGCATCGTATTCTCCCAATACACATATAGCTAAAAACAGGCCAATGTACAACAAATTAAGAATGTATTTCCTTAGAAATCTGAAGTACTCTCTGATGGTGTAAATTTATTTAAAATGTTAGTTTTCGGTTTTTTTCAAATACGTGATACTATTACGGAAATTCGTAAACATTAGCTTCAATAGCGCACAATCATTGCTTGAAAGAAAACGAAAATTAGTTGCAGGGTGTCCAGTTTTTCCAAGAAAGTTTCTTCAAGCGCTGCCGTTTGTAATTGCTGGTATATAACTTTCGATTAACAAATATGCTTGCTGCTTGCAGGCGCGGATCCAGGATTTCTTAGGGGGGGGGCCCAAATGTGAAATTATGCGAGCCAAATATTGGTTCGTAATGGTGACCAGCAGTGACGTAATGCGGGGAGGGGGTGGGTACATGCAGGGAGGGGCTAGTTCTCCCTCCCTCTTGACGTTTCATTGAATTATTAGAGAAAGAAGACGTTTCGTTATACCGTTTTCGAAAATAATCCTCGTCTAAATTCAGTTTTTCCCAGCCCGCGCAAAGCGCGGGAGCTTTTACGATTCATTAAACCATTAGAGAAAAAAGACGATTCGTCGTACAGTTCTCGACTCTAAATCCTCGTCTGAATTCAGGTTCCCCCCCCCCCCCCACTCCCGCGCAAAGCGCGGAAGCTTTTGCGATTCATTAAACCATTAGAGAAAAAAAGATTCGTCGTACAGTTCTCGACTCTAAATCCTCGTCTGAATTCAGGCCCCCCCCCCTCCCGCGCGAAGCTTTTAAGTTTCATTAAAAGCATTAGAGAAAGAAGACGATTCGTTGTACCGTTCTCGAAAATAATCCTCGTCTGAATTTAGTTTCCCCCCCCCCCCCCCCCCCCCCCCCCCCCAACTCCCGCGCGAAGCGCGGAAACTTTTACATTTCATTAAATCATTAGAGAAACAAGACGATTCGTATTACCTTTCTCGACTCTGAATCCTAGTCTGAATTCAGTTTTTCCCCTACCGCGCGAAGCGGAATTTTTGACGTTTCATAAGATTATGAGAGAAAGAAGATGATTCGCTGTACCGTTCTCGACTCTTAATCCTTGTCTGAATTCAGTTCCCCCCTCCCCTCGTCCACGAAGCGCGGAAGCTTTGACGTTTCATTAAATCATTAGAGAAACAAGACGATTCGTTGTAGAGTTCTCGACTCTTAATCCTCGTCTGAATTCAGGCTCCCTCCTCCCGCGCGAAGCGCGGAAGCTTTTAAGTTTCATTAAATCATTAGAGAAAGAAGACGATTCGTTGTACCGCTCTCGACTCTTAATCCTTCTCTAAATTCGTCCCCCCCCCCCTCCCGCGTACAGCGCGGAAGCTTTAAGTTTCATTTAAATCATTAGAGAAAGAAGACGATTCGTTGTACCGTTCTCGAAAAATATTTCTCGTCTGAATTTAGTTTCCCCCCCCCCCCCCCCGCTCCCGCGCGAAGCGCGGAAGCTTTTAGGTTTTATTAAAATCATTAGAGAAAGAAGATGATCCGTTATACTGTTCTCGATAATGCTCCTCGTCTGAATTCAATTTTTGGACGTTTCCTAAGATTGTGAGAGAAAGAAGACGATTCGCTGTACCGTTCTCGACTCTTAATCCTTGTCTGAATTCAGCCCCCCCCCCTCCCCTCCTGCGCGAAGCGCGGAAGCTTTGACGTGTTATTAAATCATTAGAGAAAGAAGACGATGCGTTGTACCGTTCTCTACTCTTAATCCTTGTCTGAATTTCAAAGATGTTCTTTGTCTGCTCCTTTTTATTCCTACGCCCTTTCTTTTCTCTCCTCTCTTTTTTTATTTTGACGGCGATTTTCGGGGACCGCCCCCACAGCCCCCCCCCCCTGGCTACGCGCCTGCGGTCAGATAAACATATTTTGATAACTTTTCCGACCCCAGAAGCTCAGGGGCTATAAATTACGGTCAGATAAGCATTCAGGGGCCCGCCTTAGGGCCCCTGGTGGGGTCGAGGCGGTGGAGCCCCCGGAGGCTCAGGAGTTTTAGACATTAAATTACCGTCAGATGAGCATCTAAGGGCCCGCCTTAGGGCCCTAGTTGGAATCCAGGGGCCAGCAGAGCCCCCGGAAGCTTGGGGGCTTTAGGCATTTAATCACGGTCAGATGAGCATATTTTGATGCCTCATTATTTTTTGACACTGGCAGTTAACTCTTTTTTCTTTCTTGCTCTCTTTCTTTTTTTATTTTTCTTTAATATACCTTTTCAAAAAAGTGGGGGGGGGGCTCGAGGCTCTCGATCCCCGCCATTCCTCGGGCCCTGACATGTAGGAATCTCAAGAATCACATTTCTTGCCTGGCTGTAAATTTAGGAATTTGTCACATAAAAACGTATAGTTTACTAAAAAGTGAGGAAAAATCTCTGAAAATTATGTCATTTCAGCATTATTTGTAATCTACCGTTATGGAATTAGAAATAAACCACGTTTAAATTTGATTTTCCACAAGCCCCCTACCCCCTATCAGTTCGCCAGTATCTCTCCTTTTTCTTTTTTCTTTCCCTTTCCTTCCTTCTCTCTTATTTTTGTGATGGGGGAGGGGGGGGGCAACAGCCTGTGAGACAAGGCCCTTTCGGCCCCCCGATCTTTTTCTTCCCCCTTTTCTTTTCTTCTTCCTCTTCTCTCTTTCCCTTTCTCTCCTCTTTCCTTTCCCTTCTTTTCCTTTCTTCTCTCTCTCTCTTTTTTTTTTTTTTTTTTTTTGCGGGGGGGGGGGGCCAAGGCACGCTCGGCCCCCCCCCCCCTGGATCCGCGCCTGGCTGCTTGCATACTTTTTCAAGATTGGTAGTTATCGAGCGAGATCGAGAATTGCAGATAATAAATTATTAGCATATCGTAGTATGGTAGAATACATGTTTTAGAATCTTTGGCAGTTATCGTGTCTGCAGAATCTCCGAGGTATTGGAGGCGCAATTCATTGTGGGAATGTATATTGCTGTTTTTTTTGTACTGGTAGGGGGAGGGGGCTTGAGGCTGCCTCCACCCCCCCCCCCCGAAAAGATATATTTTGTGTATATGTTTATGTGTATATATAGAGAGAGAGGGGGAGAAAGAGAGAGAGGAAAGGGAATGAAAGAAGAAAGAGAGAGAGAGAGAGAGAAAGAAATTTAACGAACAAAAAACAAAATATGGCGGTGCCGGGAGAGAAATTAATTGAATATCCATTTTGTATCCATTGCTAATAAAACGCCAAATATTAGAAACCGCGGTGTATTTTTTTTTTTTCCTTCCCTCCCTTCCATCGTTCGCAACATCTGGATGCATCGGGATTTAGGGCAGTGAAATGCCTGAATACCTCCATATTTATTTATTTACTTATATATATATTTATTTATATTTGGGCAACAAGGTGGCAGAATAAATATCTTTTTGACAGGTAGGTGTCCCAATATCATCGCAGCAGGGTGCCTAAATATATCTTCTGAAATGATTTTTCTATCAAAATGATATTTTTACAACGCTTGTTCGCTTCACACACTCGGAAACATAATGATAGTAATAACAATGTTAATAATAGTTATAGTAATAATGACATTTATGATAATAATTATGATCATAAGAATTATAATGATAACAATAATAGTAATATTGATAATTTTACCCAGCATTTCTATTATCTGTTCTTTTTTTCTTCTCAATTTTAAATTGAATATAACTCGTATTTTCATTCGGGGGGGGGGGGGTTTGTTTTCTGAAACAATTCTTGTAATTGTTATCAATGTTATTTTTAT